GAAGTATGAGAGTGCCTACTACATAGCCTAAAACATAGCTGGTCCATAATAAATTATTTTTGAAAAAAAATGACAAATTTTGATTGCCACCACTTTTACTTTATTCATGATAGAAGATATGTGTAATCCTCAAGCGTTTTATACAAGTCCCATACAGGACAGAATTAAAATCCATAACCTAGTGTGGCACTGTGGGTTAAGACACCAGACTGAAAAGCTGTTTGAACTGCAAGGTCAGCAGTTCAAGTTTACCAGCTGTTCATCAGAAACCCTCTATAGGGTTACTATGGGTCAGAATTGACTCAACGGCACTTAACAACAGCAACAAGTACATATCAAGTCACTATCAGCTAGTTAGCATTCCAGGAAATGGTCCCTTATATGACCATGCACTCCCTTCATGTCAACTCTAGTCCCAGCATGATGATGACACAGTCCTTTTAGAAATATCCAATCTTACTGCAGTAGGAGAAGATGGAGACTTAGTACACAAAAAATTCTGCCCCAATCTTCCCCCCTCCCAGTATTTTTATTTAATAAATGACTTCAGTAAATCTCATTGTAAAAAGTGAACTGTTAAAATTAAAAGGTGCTTCAAACAAGAATGTGGCTATTATAAAATAAGACAGGCATCTCACAGAGTGAGAGGTACAAATGCAGTGGGCTATTCTGGTACTATGTAGAAATGAGACTGGCGTAAGTGATGGCTCTGCATAAGGTACAGTACATATCGCAAGTTCATTAAAAAGGTAAATTTACAGCCCGAATCTCAGAGATAAAGACACTGAAAAAAAAAAAAAATAAATAACCATGTCTACATGATGCCAAAGCAGGAATGTGTCATATGAAAGAAAAAAAAAAAAAAGAGTCTACATACTTTTCTGTTCAATTATAACATAACCAACACCTTTTGATAATTTTTAAATAACTTTATTTTGCTTCTCCATATTTCTATGTCATTTCACCACATATTTTTAGATATTTGAGCATCTAGGCCACATTGACACATATGGAGTAAATGTGCCCTTTACCAAATTCAAGATTTTCTGTTTATAGGCAAGCATCATTCTTGCTGATACTTCTGAAATATGACTGTATCTCATCTTTCTTGGCCTCAGGTGAGTTGCTATCAAATCTCCTGCATTAATTACCCACTGCCACTGAGTGATTTCTGACTCACAGTGACCGTATAGGCCACAGTACAACTGCTCCAGAGGGTTTTCAAGATTGTAACTCTCATGGAGCAAACAGCCACCTCTTTCTCCCACGGAGCATGTGATTGATTTGAACCACCAACCTTGTAATTAGCAGTCCAATACTTAACCCATTGTGCCATTAAGACTCCTTTGCTGCTAATTAGCCAAACTTATTTCACTCATCTATCTCTGTTTCTTTGTTAAAAAGGAAACTCAATTATCTCTCAAAGAACCATTAAACAAAATTCTAGGTTCTTTTAAACAGTTTCACTCCCAACTTTATTAGACTCACTAGTATTACTGTTCATACTTCTCATATTAATTGTTACAACACTATTAAAACCACCACTGGAATAGTGAACAAAAAAGAACCTGCTAGATACGGCACACATGTTCTGTTTCTCCAGTCACCAGAAATTGCGGTCAATGGGAAGAGGAACATCAGCAAGAATAAATCATTGAAAAAACTGCATCAAAGTCAGGTTTCAGTCTTAGCATCCACCGTTGGCCATAAGCCTTAAAGGCCCTTTGAAGATAATTAGCATTCTTAATTTTTCATTCTGGGATCTAGGATTTCTATTGCATTCAATTGCACAGGGATTCATAGAAAAATGCCTTTGCTTCTTTTCCAAGATTTTGGGTTCTTCTAAGGTCAGGTTCTTGGAATACAGAGCAGCTAATTTACAGCGGATGGTATGATTTTATTGCAAAGAAAAGTCAAGCAATTCCACCCCAGAGAATCCTTGTGTCCAAGAAAAAAATAATATTGTAAGGAAGCCAATAACATTGTGACTGAGAAAGGAGTTTCCAAAATCAATGCCACTAAAATGCCTTCTCTAACCAAAATCTAACATAACTAAAATAATAATAAAAGACTGTTCACTGAAATGCAAGAAATGTCATTTGTGGTCTTTCTTACCCTTAGCAGATAGGGCTAGGAGAATTTAAATGTTACCTTGTTAACCTCTCAGTCACTAGCCCCTTACATTCATAACTCAGTGGTTCTTCCTATGTGTAACTTCAGCCAAGAAGAAATTCACACATTAACAGGTTTTGTCAGGGAGTAACTATAAATGATGGAATTAAAAAATGAAAGCACTTGTAAAACATGAGAGAAATGGGTGAACAATCCTGCTGGTTCACTTCAATAAAATCAAAATAAAACCTTTATAAGTAGTATGTTAGCCTGAGCGTTAATGTAGTTGTGACGATGCGATATTATCCAACATACTTCTTTTACTCATTGCACTTAACAGTGTACAAAAGAGACAATGTAGTGCTACCCCTTCAGCATGTTTACATCTTGACTGAACATCTTTGAGAACTGGTCTGTCAGCTTAGTGTCTTCTATTTACTTTTCTGTTCCCATGTAACCCAGGTATTAATTCGGAAGCATGACTTGTCCTAAGAATGTTTTATCTTCTTTAGATGCTTAAAGCAGATTGTATCAGCGCTCAGTCATTTACTAAATCTGCACTGAATAATCCTCCCCTATTATAGCCCTTGAGCAACACTGAATTACCAACTCTAAAACATCCTTCCCCCACTTTCTCACTAATTTCCATCTTCCTGCCTGTATGTCCCCATTTTTAAAAATTGGGAAAGCTTATAGTTACTAAAATTATAGAACAAGTTTATCTATAAGAAAAGCTATTTTTCTTAGAGAAACATTAAAAAGATGGAAATATCAACAGAATATTAAAAGTTGAAGCTAATGTGACTCAAAATTACAATTGGAATGGAAGGATTCTTCATAACAAGGAACAAACTTGTTTCCCCAGTGTACTGAGTAGACAGGGATGAGAAATTTAGACATTTGGCTAACAAAAATAGATGCCATAATGGCATGAAGCGGCTTGTTTACAAGCTTTCATGTGTGTGTTTAGGTGCAGAATGAGGTGGGTAAGGTAGAATCCCTACTGAATAGTTTCAATCTTTCCCAGATGGATCTGGTGAAAAGGACTGGGGAAAAATGTGATAAGATTTTATGACTCAATTGTGAAGAACTGTTAACAGGATTAACTGCATTGGTCAAAACTGTAGGTGTAAAACATGTGTAACTAAAACGAGAGAGCAGTTAATCTTTCATTTCCGGAACAGATGATCCCAGGACCATCAAGAAGGAAGAATTAGTGGAGCTTGAGATCCCTACCAAGAAAAATGGTGGCAACAGAGATGGAGGCTATGTGCCTGCAGGCAGGAGACTAGCTAATAGAATGTGCCCTTTTGGACATTTAAATGAATATATATTATTTGTTTTATAAGTGTACATCGAATAGTTTTGCCTTGTTCATTTGTGAAATGTAAGATGCAATGCGGAGCCACAGGGAGGAAAGGGGATACATATTGTTGATGATCTTGTCTGTAAACCTTCACCCAATTTACAATAAAAAGTTTAAAAACAAAACAGTTGAAGGTAAAAGTATATAGGTATTAACACATCAATTCTATAATATTTTCTGTCAATCCTACAACATGCCTACTGTAGACAGGAGTAGAAGGAAAGAGAAAAGGTAAGATCACCAATGTTTGAAATAATAACCCAGAGCTTTCTATCCAAATTCTGTTCCTTTTGATTCAGGGAAATAAGCATAGTCGTGCTCTGTTCTGATATAGAAAGTATGCAAACTGTCATTTTCCTAATGTGAAATTACAGACAAAAACACTTGTTTTTGGTTTTTATTGTTGTTGTTGTTAAATACCTTTAGCCTTGTAAGCGTGGCCTTTTAACTTCATTTAAGTATAAGCAAAATGGTAGGGAGCCTGTAAAGTTTATCCTGGAGGAGTCCTAAGATTCATCATCCAAGACTATGATCATGGATGTCTTTGGAATTCTGAGAGGCTATGTCCCATATACACACGAAAAGGCACCTGGTATGAAGACCATTAGAGAATAAAACAGATGCATTATATAGCAAGAAAAGGTTGCAGATTTTCCTGTTAACCAAAATCCTCAAGAGAAAATATGCACGTGGCAGACTCCAGGAAACATTTCTACCTTTACTACTTTTGTAGGGGCTACCAATATGGCTGGAATCGATTATACATTCTTCTAGAGCAGAAATGTGGTTGTCTACTCTTAGCATTTCAATCAATTGATTTACATATATCTAGATGTTTTTCAGTTTCTGTATGCTATCAATGTCCCACACTCTGAAACAAATGGACTAGTAATGGTAGGTACCTGCCTAATAATGGAGAACTTAATATGGAGGAAGTTTTTTTCTAAATTAACATTTGGAAATAAAATGATATATCTGGAGAAAGTGTCACATTCACAAATTCACACATGCGCACAAACTCTGTTAATAAATAAACACAAATAATGCTATGTATGCATTCATTCCTAAGTGAGTCACTCCAGCATAGTGGCCCCTTAGCTTCTGGGATTCAATCTCTGCTATAAACCATAAGTTTAAATTTAATTTTCACAAAGACTTTCAAGGTAAGTGCTACTATGATTAGTACCGGTTTTAGTGGTTACGAATCAGGTTGCTATTCTCAGGGTCAGCAGTTGGAAACTACCAGCTGTTTTGTGGGAGAAAGATGAGGTTTTCTGCTCCCATGAAGATTTACATTCTTGGAAACCCTGTACAGGGTCGCTATGAGTTGGAACCGACTCCACAGCACATAAACAACTACAAGTTACTGCAAGTTGCAAAAACTGAAAGAGATGTCAATGTAATGGACAAAACATCCTAATGTTTCTATAATTTTGTAAAGAAAAACTACCGGAGGGCGGGCAGGCAGAGTGGTTCCCCCTTGAAACCAGCGGCGTGCTCTGTCTTGGGAATGGCTGCTTACCTTCCTTGGCTGTCCTTGCAGAAGAGGGTGGTAGGCTCTGGGCACAGTACACCTCCCGGGTCTGGATGCCACCACCGCAGGCATGTCCTGTCGCATGCCAGTAGATGTTCTGCTGCTGGAGCAGTAGAGAGACTTGGCATTCAGTCCACTCAGAGGTCCTCCAGGAATACCTGTTCAGGTTTGATAGATTAAATAGAAGTAAGGAAATTATAAAGTTAAAAAAAAATGACAAAAACCTAAATCATGACATCAAGTGTGTGTAATAATCTTTCTCTCTAGGACCAATTCAAAGTCCACTGGTGTTGAATTGTTGTTGTTGTTGTTGTTAGTTGATACCAAGATGGCTCCTGACACATGGTGACTCCCATCACAACAGAACACAACACTGATTCGGACTGCTCCATCCCTATGACTGTTTGTGGATCAGACTTTAGTGATCCATAGAACGTTCATTAGCTAATTTCCAGATTTTTCTTCTTATTCTTGAAGCTCTGCTGAAACCTATCTAATATCAGAGCAACACACAAATCTTCCCTGACAGGAAGGGGGTGACTGAGCATGATCTGTAGTGGCTAGGAATCAAACTCGGGTATCCCACATGGAAGACAAGAATTCCACCATCAAACCACCACTGTTCTCTACTGTAACCAACTTTTGTTGAGTCTGTCCTGACTGATGATGGCCAACATATATCAAAGTACAACTGTACTCCATAGGGTTTTCCATGTCTGAATTTTCAGAGGTAGATCACCAGACTTTTCTGTTAAGATGCCTCTAAATAATCTTGAATGTTCAACTTTCACTTAGCACCCAAACATGTTAACAGTTTATGCCACTGAGGGACTGAAAGAAGAGTTGTCTGACTCACTGGAAATATATGGAACACAATTTTACTCGGATGCACATGTGTTGTTATGAGTAAAATCAACTACAGGGAAACTGGCAAATTTTGAAATACCAATCAAAATAACACCAGCCATTCAATTGGTATTCCCTGAAACCAAATGAGCCTAATTCATAGCAGCTGAACCTGTCATGGGATTTCACAACACAAGTTGTGAAGTTTCACAACGCAAAACTCTATTGGATGGCATTGTGTGAAAGTTGGCCTTTCTTATTTAATTAGCAGGATACAGCATGAATGTATAAAGTTGTGCATCTATTATTTTAAATGGACAAAGATGACCTCCACATTTTTACTTTGTTGATACAGGAATCTAGGTCTACATGTTTGACCCACTGCCATTGGAATAAAGGTATGCATATTAAAAATGAGTTAATACATGCTCACCATATTTCACTGATGGCTACTTTTTTTTTTTTTAACCTATGTAGCCATGTTGTTACAAAAACTGACTTAAGAACATATTCCTTTAGTGTATAACTGGTTAGGGGGCACAATGACAATTAGGTCAGAAGACTTAATATACAGAAGATGTTTGTACAGAAGACAGTCAAAAGATGACATGTTTTGCTTTTATGCCCACTCTCCACAATCCAACAATATAGGCCCTACTCTAGGCCCATAAGAAGCTCTGGTAGTGTAGTGGTTACGAGTCAGGCTGCTAACCTCAAAGTCAGTGTGAAACTACCAGCTGTTCCATGGGAGAAAGATGAGGCTTTCTGCTCCTGTAAAGATTTACAGCCTTGGGAACCCTATAAAGGGTCTCTACAATTCGGAACCAACTCCATGGCACATAACCGCCACCACCACCTAGGCCCATAAAAGGGTGATGTCAGTAACTGTTTATACTTCTGTGGACCTGAGATGCTTTAAGAGGTCCCAGGATCTACTATAAAGTTACCTACAGATTCTTTATTTCTCCATTCCTAGCTACTCCTTGGAAACTCTACACAGGGTCACTGTAAGCCAGAACAGACTTGACAACACTTATCAACATCATGATACTTGGACATGTAATCCCAATTACAGTGAATGTATTTATAATAATTATAATAATAATATAATAACAATTCTAGATAAAATACAAAAACAGAAATATTTACAAGATGACATAAAATGAGAAGAACTTTATTTTTAAGCTAATATCACTTGTATTGCATACACCGTGAGCCAGATATTCTTCTAAGTACTTTGCTGCTGCTGCTGCTGCTGTATGCCATAGAGTCAGTTCTAACTCAGAAACCTTGTATAGGGTTTCTGAGGCTGCAACTATTTACAGGAGCAGGAAACCTCATATTTCTTCTGCAGAGTGGCTGGTGGATTTGAACTATGCTGATGTGATCCTGTAGGATAAGCACTGGATTACTAACCACAAGGTTGGTGGTTCAAATTCACCGTTGGTTCAAACTTAGCTGTTGCTCCTTGGAAACCCATATGGGACCACCATGTTTTGGAACTGACTCGAAGGCACTAAAAACAACATACTAATTTATTTCCTCCCCATAACAGACCTCTAAGATTGTTGTTGCTGTTGTTAAGTACTGTTGTGTCAGCCCAACCCATAGCAACTCTGTACAGGGTTTCTAAGGAGCAGCTAGTTAGCTTGCACTGCTGAACTTTTGATTCAAGCCAACTTTGCAGTCCAGCGCATTAGCCTACAGCATCACACCAGGACTCATCTAAGGTGTTGTTATTGTTGTTAAGTGCCATCTAGTCAGTTCTATTTAAAACCCATTTTACAGATGGAAAACTGAGCCCCAGGGGAATTCAAACCCAATAATCTACCTCTAGCATCTGAGTGCCAAAACCTCAGAGTACATTCTATTGTCTATCTAATTGTTATTCTGTTTTGCAGAATGGCATTGACTGATCTTTCAAGGCTTGATGTGAACTTTAGGAGAGGTTAATCATTAATGGAGTAGCTGTAAACCCATATTTCAAATTGTCTTCTTGGTGATCGCATCTGATTAGTTTGTCATTGTTTTGTTCCCCTTGTTAGAGCTGACTGAGAGCTTTGAAAAAGCAGGACAGCTTGCCAACATGGCCATCTTCCTTTGGTCCCCTTTGAAGGCTCCCTTGGCATTATCATCAATTCATAGATTCTTTGCAAAAATCTGCTCAAGCTACTTGTCTATTTGCTGAGGAATCATTGTGTGTGTGTGTGGTTGTTTTTTTAAGGAGTCTTGGGGGCACAACAGTTAACCAAAAAGTTGGTGATTTGAACCCAACCAGTGGTTCCATAGAATAAAGTACCTAAAAATCGACTATAAAGATTATAGTCTAAAAAACCCTGTGGGGCAGTTCATGCTATCACAGACTCACTATGAGTCTAAAATTTACTTGTCAGTACAAACCCACACCACAAAAACACAGTAACACACACACACACATGCACACACATGCATGCAAACAGATAAAAGGACAAAACAAACTGGAATTTGTAGAAAGCTTGCAGGAAAGAAAACAACTATCACAATGTTACATTAATTTCTGGAGAAGTATTAAAGACAGACTTACGGCATTTCACCAACCCACAATATTCACATAATCCTATAGAATTCACATAAATATCAACAGACTCATTAACTTCTGGAACAATAAATAAAACTAAAAACATTCTTGTATCTACTGTCACATTTCTGATTTGAGGAAAAATGTCTCAGCTTTATGATTGTTTTAGAAAACAATAACAAAAATAAGCATATGCCACTGGACCACAAGGTCGGTGGCATATGCTTATTTTTGTTTGGCATATGCAGTTTGGCATATGCAGTGGTTGGCAGTTCAAATCCACCAGAGGCTCCTTGGAAAGCATACAAAGCGTCACTATGAATCCAAATCAATTTGACAGCACTAAACAACAAGGAACCACCACCAGTTATCTGGCCTTACAAAAACTAGGGTAAAAACAATAAACAGAAGCTGAATTAGAAAGCAAGTGCCTAAGCCCACTACTACTGATCAAACACCATCACAAGGAATTTCAGCAATGCAACAAGTCTGAAGCGTAAGCATCTTGGTTTTTGGTTTTTGTTTTCAAAAGCCCTTTGTAGAAAAGTATTTGGACAATCCATTGGGATTTGATACAAACTTAATTGTTGTCCTTCAATTTAATACTGCACTTTCCATATGGTTTTCCAAGGCATGAACATTATTCCATGAGCTGGGCAACAGTTTGGAATATAGACAGTCATACATTTGTTAATCCCAAACTCTCTGCCAGTTTGTCAGTCTGTCATACTGTGGTGGCTTATTTTACTGTGATACTAGACGCTATGCAACCAGTATTTCAAAATATCCATGGTGGACAGGTTACAGAGGAATGTCCAGACTAAAACATACTATAAAGAAAAGCCCAATGATCCACTTCCAAACATCAGCCAATGTAAACTATGTTTCACAACAGACTATTGTCTGATATAGTTCAGGAAGATGAGCTCCCCTGGTGGGAGCTCTGACAGCCTCAACAAGGGGCTCACTCATCCCTGATGTAGAGCGGACAATGGTTTGTTCTGTTACACAGAAAGTTGCCAGGAGTTGGCACTGACATGATAATGACAACTAACAACAGCAATGCTCCGATTGATTACAAAGTATCAGGAGAAGCTCAGGTCTGCAGGCAGACCTTCTACAGAGGCAAAGCTCCAGAGTCTTTCTCCTCACTGTAACACAGCCTCACCATAGTCACTCAAGCAGACCTCTTGTCTCTCAAGTCCTAGCCTCAGAGCACAGTAGCTCTGTACTCTGTTGCAAAATACAACATGATAGGGGCATGTTAGGTAAAGTGTTACCAGGTTCACATTTCAAACCCTGTTTCCCAATGGATTCACTAAAAGAAGAGCTCTCTGGCTATTAGGGAAGAGAGCAGATACATTTGATGACATAGGTTTCTACAACAAAGTTATTGAATATGCTAGGAGTTCTTGTGGTATAGATGACAGCCAAGTTTTAGAGTCAAACTAACCTGATTTAAATCTGAGATTTGCTATTTACAAGCCATATGGTTTTGGCCTTATTTTATTTTTCTAATCTTTAATATGGGGGTAATAACACCAAACATCTAATCTGACAAATAACAAATGGTCATTCCCTTTCTCTTATGTCCTCTTGTACACATTGTCCCTTGCTGCCATAGAAAACACACATATACAATTAACATTTTATTTGAAGATTTCAATCAAAGGCCCTAATGTTAGAAATGCCAGAATAACCATGGTCTATGTTCCAGCCAGAGGTTTGACAAAGACTATAAAAGAAACAAAGTTT